TGAATTTCCAGTTACGTTTAAGGAAAATTAGGCAAGCTGAAGGTGCTGCGGTTTTGGCCATATCTGAGCTGTCTCTTATCTGGAATTACTGCTTTTGGTTATGTTCCTTTATCTATCGTTTACATCTTTTTCGCCGGGTTACCCTACATTTGCCTCTGCTTAATGCGCAGCCGTATTCTCCTCAGAAATAACGTCTTCCTGCCTTGAAAATTGTCTTCACGACTGCTGGCAAATCTTCAGTTTAATTTAACTTGCCACCCGAGCCTTTCAATCAACTTGTGAGTGGGCTGGACGCGGTATTTGATGCGGTATTAAGACCGTTATATACGGCTGCCAGCACACGCATGTGGGACAGTGCGTGGGCGCGGACTCTGCACAGCCCGATAAAGGCGAGCCGTGAATGAGTTCGACCTCCGGTTTTGGCTCAGTACCTCTTCAGCGCAGTCCGTTGTGGAGGCAGTGGCTGTTTATAGTGAGGAAACAACACGCTAGGTCCGAGCTGAATCGGTCTCATTTTCTTCTCCCTCCTCCAATGGCTTCCAACCATCTGGAGGTAAGATTGCACGCACTGGCTGACGTGGTGAAGGGCCTAGTTTTAGCTCTTCCCATGTGGATGTGGATGGGTAGTTTGGGCTTCGTAGATTTCTACTGCTTTTCGCTCAGCATACTAAAAAAGGCGATATGGCATCCGTTATTTTCTACTACACGAAGTGTTGAACTCACGTAGGTTTCACTTACTACATCAGACGCATCTGTCTCCGTGAACGTGATATCCAGTTTGCAGGGTGTTTGGGTAGAACATATATCATGCCGTCTGAAACAGAAGGCACTCTCGTATTCATATGGCTTATTTTAAAAGGCCAGAGATAAAGTAATAATTATTAACTACTATCACAGGCTTCTCACCAAGTCATCTTTTTTAAGTTTACAGCCGCGAATTTTACCAACTACAACAAATACCCATTGATATCCAGAAGCATGCCGTTTTGTATAGTTTTTGTAATGAAAATTTGTATTTATTGTAAAGCGTTTACTCAAGAAAATAACGATCGCCTTATTTGTTCAATGTAGATAAATCTCACCAATGAACACAACCAGGAAATGTACACAGCAAGAACATATTTACCTCATTACGTAAGCATCGTAAGCTTCGGGTCTAGTAGTAACCATTCTGAAGGGCCAGGTGTTTAAACCAATAGGTATAAAACAACTCTCTGTGGTCCTACCAGAAGTGATATTAGAGGTTACAGCCGACTCTACTTCGCACCACTATTTGAGGTACCTCAATGCTCGGCGGATAGACTCGTCCCAACTATACTCAGTTACTGTACCAACCTACAACTGCACAAATGTAAGGAACTCTACACTGACACCCTCCAGTAAGCATGGATTCAAGCGATGTCAGACTGCCAACTGCAGTAGCGGACCACACGCAGCTAGGTCCCATGCGAAGTGTTGTCGCGTTTGTTAATTAACCAAGCTCATAGCTCTGAAGGCCGCGAATCCTGTGACAGTTCTGCGTTGTCACAGGCCTGGGTGGTCCAGTCACACACGAGCTTACACACGCGCATACGCTGAAATGCTAAGATCAAAACCGGAGTTCGAGTCAGAAACCGCTATGAGGCGACAGCAGGTCTGGTGACTTTTGGCAGGCACCAATCCACGCGTTTCCTGCGCATAGGCGTACTGCACTAAAACTCGCGTTATTTTTCTATTGCACATGCTACTGGGGTCGTTGCTCTTGTAGCAACTAATTTCACCG